AATGTTAACTTTCAGGAAGAGTTGTAATGAATAGTTACAAAGTTGTGCAAGCACCATCATTAATTCCATAACATTTCTATCATCACCCCAAAGACACCCTGCATTCGTTAGCAGCTACTTCTCATTTCTCCCTACCCATCCCCTCGCAACTAGTCAACTCTGTGCTTCTATGGATTCGCACACTGGACAGCCGATATAAATGGAAATGGCACGTGGCCTTTTATAGCTAGCTCCAATTGTTTGGCATGGTGTTTATAAGGGTCATCTGTGTAGGAGCATATTAGTATTGTGTCCTTTTTTGAGAGCTCAATAGTACTTCTTTACATGGACTTACACTTTTCCTTTACTCACTGATGGATGTGTGAATTGTTTCCATTGGGGAATATGATGAAAAATAGTTGTGATTACATGTGTGTGTTTTTACCTAAGTAGGGTTTGTTCCATAGTACTGGGTATCAAAACAGAAGTACTGGGTGAGACCAACAAACTCCTTTTTGTCGGTTGAGGGGCTTGAACTCTGGGCCTGGAAACTGACCCTCAGCTCTTCAGCTCAACACCAGCACTCTACCACTTGAGCCACAGCGCCACTTCGTTTTCTGGTGGTTTATTGGAGATAAAAGAGTCTAACATATGTTCCTGCCTGGGCTGGCTTTGAACCGTGATTCTCAGATCTCAGCCTTGTGAGTAGCTAGGATTACAGGCGTGAGCCACCAGTGGCAAGCTACTGTTTAACTTTTTGAGAAGCTGCTAAATTGTTTCCCAAAGGACCATGCTACTTTGCGTTTTCACTAGCGTTGACTGTCTGCTCAAATTCCACTCCCCTATCCTCAGCAACATGTATTTCCTTTTCAGTATGATTTCCAGCCCCCACAGGTATAAACTCATCTCACAAAGGGGTGGCCTCCTCTCACTGTTTATTGGCCACTGACAGGTTCCAAGAGCCATCTGCTCAAATCCTGTGCTCATCTTGAAAGCTCAGCATCTTTGAAGTAATTTTATACCTGAAATCTGGATCCTTGTTAGCTTGTTGTTGGTACACACACATTTTAATCTTCTCTGCCATCCTGTGCGTTTTTCTTAACTGTTTTCAATTTTGATGTTGTCCAACTTACCTTTGATTTAGTCTCTTGCATCTCTGTGTCACATCACAGGAATCGTCCAGCTTAAAGCCATGAAACTTTACATATAAAGATTTGTAAAAAGAACTCTCAAAGGATTTCTTCTCCCATGAGGGGAAGGGAAGGGTGTATCATGCAGTTTAAAGTGGGCCACTTTCTACTTGATGGTGAAAATTTGAGCTTGTTGCACTAGGAATAGAGTAATAAAATGATTTGTGTGTTGGTCCTGGGACTTGAACTAGGGCCTGAGTGTTGTCACTGTAAAAGTGGGCCAGTCACTACTTGACGGTGAAAATTTGAGCTTGTTGCATTAGGAATAGACTAACAAAATGATTTTTTGTGTGTTGGTCTGGGGATTTAAACTAGGGCCTGAGTGTTGTCCCTTGAGCTTTTTTGCTCAAGGCTTGCACTCTACCACTTGAGACACAGCTCACTTCCAGCTTTTTTTTTAGTAGTTTAGTGGAGATAAACGTCTTGTACTTTCCTGCCCATGCTGGCTTAAAACTGCTATCATCAGATCTCAGCTTCCTGAGTAGCTAGGATTATAGGCATGAGCCACTGATGCCTGGCCAAAATAATTATTAAACAATTGCCTCCAAAATTGGTAATTTATCTGAAGGGCTTATTAAAAAGCATTAAGTCCTGCCTATTATTAGCCATTATTATTCTGATATTTAAACATCAATATGCTGAATCAACTCATAGGAAACGACACACATTTGGAATTCATGTTGGAGGAAAAAGCAAGGAGCAGCCACTTTCTCAAGTGCTGAGCCTTGCAAAGGCTTGCCAAGCTTTTTCAGTTGGCAACCCAAGGGACATTTGTCTGGTAGCCAAGAGGAAAGTCCCGTAAATTTAGGGGACAGAAAGAAACCTTCATTTCATGTCTCATTTCAGATGTATTATATAAACATACACTGGAGTTTATGGGGTGGTTGATATAGTCTTAGAACAAGGTAGTTGTGACTTTTGGCTCAGATTCCATTAGCACAGAATTTAAAATTGGAAATTCTGGTACCATGTGTACCGGAAACCACTGAGCACCTCCAGGAAAAACTTCCAAGTGTGCACATCACCATCCATGTAGCTCAGCTCTGGGACATGGGGGGCACCCTGTGACTGTCACTGTAGGTTTGGAGGGCCAGAATTTCTCCGTAGATCAGCAGGCAAGTACTTTGAAGAAGCGTCTAACATACCATACACTTATGCAAGAGATAGAGGTGGGCAGTGGGTGGTATCTGTGTCTTTCATGTGGTTGCAGGCAGCGTGTCCTTATTTTATTGATCGGGTCAATGTGAGGTTCCCAAGTGTTTAGGGTAAACTATCAGCACTACAGCATTCACATGTGTGGTCAATGCGATAATGAACATACTCATACACTGTAACAGACATGTATTAATGATCTACAGTTCACTGTGGCTGAAATAAAAGGCACTAAGCCAGGTGATAGCGGTGCACATCTGTAATCCTACTCGGGAAGCTGAGATCTGAGGATCAAGGTTTGAAACCAGACCATACAAAAAAATCTGTGAGACTCTTACCTCCCATTAACTAGCAAAGAGCCAGGTGCTCAAGTGGTCGAGTGCCAGCCTTGATTTATAAAAGCCAAAAGATGAGAGAGCAAGGCCTTGAGTTCAAACCCCAGTACCAGTACACACACAGTAAAGTAATGGCATTGATGGCTGTTATGAAAAACTTAAAGCAGACTGATTCTTCAAAAGGAAAACTAGACAAAAACCAGAATTTGTAGAAGAAACTCAGAGGGCCAGTAAACATTAGAACAATTGCCAATTTACTAGTCATTCTAGTGGAATTTGCAATGAAAGCAGTGGAACCAATTTTATATTTGTTAAGTGGCCAAAATGAAAAGTGCTGTCAAAGGTGGGGAGAAATGGCATTCTCATGCTGTCGAAGGAAGAAGTTAGTGTGACTCAACTAAGCTGCAAGCAGGCAGGGCTGTAGCTGTAAGCAGGTTAACTAGTTTCATTGGTAGTACTGAAATATGGAAAACATAGAAATCTATGCCAACTATACCTTGTTAGACAAATGCAAACATTAACATCTCTAAGTTATTTGTGTATGCTTGCATATGTGCACATATATGGACTAAGTGTGCAGTAATGACCTCTCAGATATACAAATAGGGGAGATTCTGAGTTCTTGTGTTATATACTATCATTTGTTTATACATTCGTTCGAATTTACATATTTCTAGGTGCAACAATAACCACAAGGTAGGTATTGAAAAAAAAATGAAAGGTCGATCAGCTGTGCGATTTGTTTTCCAAAAGCTTGCAAAGATGAGCATCCACTTCTGAATTGGAAACTAGCCAGCAATGTCTTTCCATTACGTATTGACAGCATATTAAACCTTTTTAAAAAAAAAACAAAACTGAAAGTATTCACAGGACACCCAATATTTTTCTGAGATCAAGGTGATTTTAGCATCTCCAAAATGCAAGAAGCATCGTGATACCTTCCATAATGAGAAACCAAAGATGATGTTTCATCTGGAGAGGACAGCCTGGGCCAATTGTACAGTTAGTATTTACAACAGGATAACAGCAGACTTGAGACAGTGACACAGCAGGCTTAAGTTCTTAGTCCTAAATTAGATGCTGGACAAGGGATATAACCAGAACATAAAAACATCTCAGACTCCTAACAGGCCACAGTCTTCCAGACAGCAGTCTCTGCACGGTGGAGCTTTATTCTCCACCTTGAGCTATGTGAATCTTCATCTAAACACAGTTCAAAGAATTCAGCTTTCCTGGGGACTCGGCTATCAGATTATCACAAATAACAAATTTTATGTACCAGATCTGATCCTAGCACTGCCAAGTTCTTTCGCAGACAGAAGGACATTGTGTAACATTCAAAAGGTTCAAAACTGACCTTCTCCCTTCTGGGAGGTCACACATTACCCACACTCCCATTTCCTAGCCTCAAAAAGAGTGCTAATAATATCTTTACAGACTCCTTCTGAGGCTGGCACACGACTGCAGGGTGGCTGTGTGGGGTGAGGAGCTTTCTTCCAGGGAGTAAGAAGGCCTTTACTACAAATGTGACTGAGTGTTATGTGCAAAGTGGCAGATTTTCAAAGACAAGCCTGAAGTTACTAGCTCTGCTTGAACAAACCTGTTTTCCTAGGACTTGTTACATTTTATTATATATGGTACCCATTGCTGAACACTTCTTTGTGAGTTGGATGTCTTTCCTCTGTACTGTCACAGATGTTTCACTGAACTAGTAACAACAATGTGGAAAGCCAGGAAATTAAGAAACAATTCTATTTCACTTATCTTCATGGAACAGACTGCAGAAATCCTTTTTTCCAGTACTGAGGCTTGAACTCAGGGCCTGGGTGCTGTCCCTTAGTTTTTACTCATGGCTGGTGGCTCTACGACTTGAGCCACACCTCCAATTTGTCGCTTTTTGCTGGTTACTTGGAGATAAAGAGTCCCTTATGGACTTAAAGCTGGTTCCAAACCTGATCCTCAGATTTCAGCCTCCTTAGTAGCTAGGATTACAGGTGTGAGCATTACAGGCATGAACCACTATCACCCAGCTAAGTCTATAGAAATTCTTTATGTCATCTGCACTAAGAAAATGAGATCCTTCCTAAATCAAGTAAAGATAACAGCCAAGTATTTTGCAGACAAGAAAATCTTTTATTTTAAACCACAAATAATCAGCAGGTAGCTACAACTATCCATGTCTCATTAAAATCACATAAAACCTAGGTACAAAAGCACCACTGATTATTGCTCTAGAAAAACTGCATGAAAAATTCAAATATGCACAGTAAAAACACCACAGGTTGCACAAGACTAAGTTTTTTAAAGTGAGGGCATGGAATGATGGATCAACTTTAAACATACATTTCCAATTATTAGATAGGTATTTATTTTACTTGAGAATGATGAAAATTTCCAAAAAAGCATGATTACAAGAGGGTCGAATATCCATCTTTATATATACTATTTGCCAACTAGTAGAGTCCTAAAAAAATTAGCATTTACAAAATACTTGGTAAAAATAGCTTTTAAAAGTTGTCCCAAGAGGTAAATAAAATCACCCCCAATTTTCCATGGCAATTTATTCTCCTTCGTTATCTATAGATTCAGTTTTCTGTGCCTGTGGAAAAGAAAAAGAAGAGAGTGATATAGTCCAATGCACTTGAAAATGACTATAATCAAAGCAATGTCCAACCATGTGCAGACACACAAGAACCATTCATTTTTTTGCAGCTCTTCTGTACAATCTATTTCAGCTCTGGGTGAAGAACAGACAAGGTGGGAAGACATTATGCCAATGCTAGGCCACATTTATTGCTTTCTGCTTTTCAAACAACCACAGCAGCCTTACCTGTAAAGTCCCATTGCTTATAGTAAATAACAACAACAACAATAATAATATACACCACACCACTATCTGATTCTAGTCACTGCAAACGTGCCAAGTTTTCTACTGTACCCTTAACTCTCACTGTTTCAACGTGCCCCTTTACCGACAAGTTGCTGGGTGGGGGACTTCTGGAGGATGAGACATTAACACTTGAGCGAGAAATGTGGATCTGTAATTACATTACAGGTAATAAAGAGAGACATGCTGAGTGTGTCATCACAGGCTGCAGGACCGAGCAAGTCAGACATGGAGTCAGTCAGTGGGAGGTGTTTGCAGAAAGTACCTCTTTAGCTTTGGTTTCACCATTTTCAGATGGGGCAGCGGCTTCCTTTCCAACTTCCTGCTTCTCCTCCTTCTTCCCTTTGGCTCCTCTGCTAGTCTTTGCTCCAGGTTCTTTCTGATGGGAGATGAAAGCACAAGGAGAGAGCACGTGAAGATGTGGAGTGATGGGAGCGGACATCAGTTCGCCTCCATCCAGACACCTGGTGAAATGGACCGATGGTGGCCATGGTAATTTTCAGGGGAAAACCAACCCAGTTCAGACTTCCATGGAGTAACTCTGAGATTATGACATGGTGACAAAGAAAGCAAGCCCACTGGGCTTGCCCTTCTGTGGGAAACCTATTAACCACCCGCTAAGGATTTGTTTCATGGACCACCTCTCTTCTGGGTTGAGAAGTGGAGCTGCCACGGCTGGTCCAAGGCAGTGCTTGGGAGAACGGGGGCAGGAGCAGCTTCTCATGCATGAGACATGACGCTTTCCACTCCAGTACATCCAGCGCACTTCACCAGACGAGACAACAACCCTGTTAAGACTAAGCCACGGAAGTCAGCTCTGTGTGCATGTGCGTGTACACACACACACACTTTCCCTCTCTCTCTCTCCCACACACACACTCACAGACAATGCAGAACAAGACCATGCTCTGACAGGCAGAGTACGGAAAATTCACTTGGGTTCTATTCCTGGTAATTTATGTACTTTATAGCTTCTTCGCTGACACATCAGTGTATGTGTTATTTACCTCAATAGAGATAATGTGAAGATTATGTGAAAAGCGAGCAATAGTGGCTGGCATAGAGGGCTTGTCTTTATGAATCAGTCACAAGGGTAGATCTACCAGGGTAGAACAACGTCAGGTATCCAGTACCGGAGTCTGGAAGCTCCTCCCCCAGCCAGCTGGTACCCTGCTAGTTGGGCACCAAGAGCACGGATTACCAGTTCTAAGGCAGCTGCCAGCCCAAGTTCTCATGGGAGGCCTTAGCCTGACCTGCTCTGATCCCCATTCAGCAAATGGGAAACCATTCCTGCTAAGGCACAGAACTGTGCTTTATGTCCTTTGAGACTTACCCTAAGAGTGGCAGTCAATACACTTTAGCCTATATCATTACACATGACTTTTTCTCGAGATGATTTTTGGGATGTGGAATGATCATTTATTCATCGCTTTAAAAACCCCAAGGTGGGAGCCTGGGCATTCCCACCTTTACCTTAGCAGATGTCTTCCTTGGTTTAGGCTCAGGTTTGGGTGGCGGAGCAGGTTTCTGTAGAGACGATATGAATGAATTAGAAAGAGCAGGAAAGGATTGTAAAGCACTACCATCCGCTCCAACTCCTGATGGTGCTCATTTTAAACACGATCTCGTACTATTTTCAGCACTGGGGAGCGGCATGAAGACATCCGTGTTTCACGGCTATTTTCATCTTGGGTTCACAAGTGAACGGCAGGTGAGACAGAAAAGTAAACTCATTAGTCACTGGTCCAGAATAGCTCTCAGGAAACAGATAAGACACTTCTGTCTCTGGTATCTCTGCTCTTCCTTTTATCCCAGTCCAGAAACAAGAGGAATGGCTCAGAGCCTTGGCCACATGACTCAGTGCGCATTCCCAACAATCTAGAAATCACAGCAAGGCCCACTGTGGTGTCTCTCAAATGGGGGGGGAGGGGGTGTAAATCCTTCCTCTCTAGATGTAGATCCTGAATTCTGTACCCTACCATCTTTAGACTTTTATTTTCTTCAATGTCAGCATGTGTAGTTTACCCCGCCCAGATTATGGGCTGGTTTTATCTCTAGAACTTATAAAAAACACAATTATAGTGATGTATCCACTGTTGATTCCTGACATTTAACATTTATAAATACTATTAGCCAAAAAGCTCTCTGATTTTCTCCTGTCTTTATGACAGTACTGGTGTTTGAACTCAGGGCTCACGCTTGCTAGGTTAGCCATGATACCACTGAGCTACACTTCTAGCCCTCTGGTTCAATGGTTATTTATTCAAAATCAGGGTCTTGCTTCCCAGTGTGTGCCTGAGCTGTGCTCTGCCTTTGCTGTGTCTTTCTGCAGCCAGGACTACAGGTGTGCACAACTATGTCCAGGTTCCCTTCAGCAAAGATGGGAGTCTCTTGACTTTTTTCTGCCTGCACTGGCCTGGCACCTGGATCCTATGGCCTCAGCCTCCCTCACAGCGTGGGGTGAGAGGCACAGGCCAATGTGTCTAGCTGTGAGTTCAGAAGGTGTCTTGAGCATTTTTCTGCCTAAGCTGGCCTTGAACCATGATCTTTCTGTTCTCAGCCTGCCAAGTAGCTAAATTACAAAGTGTGAGCCATCAGTATTCCCACCTAGCATTTCCTGTCTTATGTGGTTCTCTTCCCACCCCCCAGGGAACAGAACCCAGATGCCCTGGCCAGTGTGCCAGAGAGCAGGGGGCCCCTGCGTGGGGGTGGAGGAAGGTGATCAGTGTAAAGCACAGTTCTTTATAGAGCTCGTAGGGCAAATACTGCACTCTAAATCTTGCCTGTCACTAGAATCATGTTTTTAAATAGAAAACAATGGCCAGGGGTCTCCCCAGCCACGGGGGAAAAACACAAGTGTGTACTATGTAATGTTTAGATCACAAAGCACTTGTCAAGTTCCTCTATGGTGAAAACAATAGCAATCTTTTCTTCTAGCTTTAAAAAATATTCAGTGTTTTATTGTTATCTCTAGTCATCCTATAGAACAATAGCATAAGTTCTTCTTCCTATTTAATGGTAACATAGACTAATAAAGAATGTTTTAAAGATTAAAAAAAAATACATGGTACCCTCCAATGTCCCTAAGAGGCTCAGGTTTCACACTGAGTCTAGATTTTTTCATCCAGAGCATAAAGTGAAATTGGAGACAGTTTAATTCTGGGAGAATGACTGTTAGAAATTCCCTTTCAACTTTCAGCTGGGTGCCAGTGGCTCACGCCTATAATTTAGCTACTCAGGAGGCTAAGATCTGAGGATCATAGCTAGCTTTGAGCACAAGAGGCTCAGGAACAGCAATTGTCCAGGTCCCAGGACTGGCAAAAAGGAAAAAAAATTACTTTTCAAAAAAAAAAATGAAAGGAAGGGGGCTAAGAAGATGGCTCAGTGGTAGAGTGCTTGCCTTGTATGCATGAGGCCCTGGGTTCAATTCCTCAGCACCACATGAAAGTTGGAAGTGGTGCTGTAGCTCAAGTGGTAGCACTAGCCTTGAGCTGAAGAGCTGAGTGACAGTGCCCAAGCCCCAGAGTTCAGGCCCAATGACCAACACACACACACACACACACACACACATGGAATATTTTCATTAATATTCTTAAATACTCTAAAGTTTATTCTCTAGATACAACTTTTTATGGTTCCCAACTTATTAATTAAAAAAAAAATTTGCCCTGAGCAAAAGCCCTGAGCTTCTTTTGCTCAAAGCTAGCATTCTACCACTCGAGCGACAGTGCCACTTCCAGCTTTTTCAGAGTAGTCTACTGGAGATAAGAATCTCACTGACTTTCCTGCCCAGGCTAGCTTCAAGCCAGGATCCTAGGATCTCAGCCTCCTGAATAGTAGTTAGGATTACATGAGTCACTGGCTTCTGGCTTTGGCTCCTAAATTTTTCTGATTTAAGTGTCAGCAGTGAGCAAGAAGCTGAGAATAAGAGGCCCTGAGTTGAAGCCTCATTGCTGTTTTCTCTCTCTGACTCTCATTGACACATATACTTGATATTCTGTGTCCAGATGTATTAATATACCAGTGTCTTCGATTTTCATCGAACCATTTCCTTTGTAACGCTCTCTGTGACAGAGCCTCCATTTCCAGTGGTGGAGGTATGAGACCAGGCCACGCCCACCTGCCCCAGCACCTCTAACCTTCCTCACGTTCCTGGAGATGGCCTGTAGAAGGACACTCTGAGTAACAATTTTAGGAACATTCTGGCCCTGGAATAAACAGTATGAGCCGTGAAAATGGGTGCAGCATTTGAAGACGAGGACTCTGCCTCATGGATGTTTTTCCTGTCAAGATCTCTGGTAATGAACCTTAAGTGCCCTGGGCTTTGTGCTCCTGGCCATGGGCCAGCTGCTGCTCCTCAGACACCTCATCAGGTGACCTGCTCAGCAACAGGGGTCAGGCCTATTGGAGATGTGACCCCAGGTGATTGTCAACAAGAAAATATTCCCCAGGGAAATTGCCATCTGCCATCTTAATCATCCTTTTGCTGCTTTGTACCAAGGGAATGGATACTGCACCCTCCCCTCCCCCAAGGTAAAACTCCGGGGGCTCTGAGATACTTACTGCAGATAGCCTGGCAGACCGTCTTGTGGGCTACAAAATGGAAAGAAAAAACACATGTATGTACTTATATAAAACCAGGTTGATTTTCTAAATCCATCGTGACATATCTTACTTTGTCAAAAGAATCTAAGGTCTAATTCCCATCAGCCTGTCCACGTTAAGCGACAGTAAAACAGACCTTACCCGGCCATCCTCTCAGAGAAAAGTTGTGATTACTGACTTTGCAAAGATTTTCTAGATGTGTAACACAAGGCATTCTGTTTAAATGAGTAGTCTTTCCCAATTAAGGTTCAGTGACTAAGAAAAGGAAGAAATCTCCCGTAGACTCCTAAACCTAAATATCGAATCTCAAGATATAATGGACAGGAGGACCACTGCGGGACCTTGGAGAAACCGTGTCCATCTAGACTCCTGTTCCTTCAAATGAAGCTACAGCCCGTGAGTTAATAAAAGAGATTTATATTAATTGCATAGAGACCAGAGTAAGTTCCCTATCTTTCTGCTGGGCTGGAGAATCACTATAAATCGCCCACAGTTAATAAGGGAGACTTTTTTTAGCCTGTAATAAAATAAAACACTTATCTACTAAAAGCATGTATGTTCAATCATTTGACTAGAGTAAAAGGTTCACTAGTCTTTTAATTTCAAACTTCAGAAAACCGAAAGATTAAACACTGATACTGAATTTAGGTTAATATTTTTTTCAGCAAACTTCTTCAAGGACAGTACCAGTTAATAGCAATTATGACTGTCACGAAAATGTAAAAATAATTGGACCATCCTAGACAATTCCACAACCGCACGCAGAATTGATACTTCATTTATTATCCAGCAGAAGTTGACTTCTCAAAGGAATTCATATTCTAAAACCACACTGCTTTTTTTTCTTAAAACACAAACGTTCAAAAAAAAACTAAAAACCGTTCCAGCACCATACTTTTCCTGTCTTACCTGCTGCTTCCTCTCGAGAGAAAGAGTACAGTGCTCAACACATCCATCCTCACTAACACTTATTGAATTAGGGAACTCAAGCTATCCCCCTATTTCTTGCTACTTTCTGCAGGGTTTGCCTCACGATGCTTAATGCTTCAATGCTTCAGATGCTTTAATGCTTCAGATCACTTCCTGAAGGGGGCCAAGCAGGCAGCAGGTGTGGTCTTGGAGCATGTGCCATGATGCTGAGGAATCATGGGAAATCTTGAACCTACACTTAAGGCAGTCTAGGTGAGTCTGTCAGGCCCAACTGGGAAGACTTATGTCTTGCCATCTCCACTTCTAAGAACTTTCTCGCTGAGTAACATCAGAGAAGCTAAACTCATTTTCCTTTAAACTACAGAAAGAAAGGAAGGGCCTGATTCTCCATGGAGCATGTGAACCCTGGGGTCTCTGAAGAAAGATCAGAGCTGGGCTTGAGGCCAGCTAACGGAATATGCTGAGATGAGAGGACGGCGCAGGTTGCGTGGTTGGCTGGGACAGAGCCACTGCACACAGCAAGAGGTGGTACTGGTCGGCACACAGCTGGAAACAGCCCCCAAGGAGGCGGGCATGTGGCAGAGCCTCCGCAGGAAACACCGTGGTTGTCATGATGTATTCACCACGAGGCACCCACAAATCCCTAGGAATCAGGATCCAGTCTCTGCCTTTCCCACGAAAGTCAACCATCACTTGAAGAAAAGGCAACATGGAAATGGGCGCCTGTAATCCCAGCTACTCAGGAAGCTGAGATCTGGGCAGAAAACTCCCTGAGACTTTTTAATCAACTGACCAGTAAAAAGCCAGAAGTGGAGCTGTGACTCAGGTGGTAGAGTGCCATCCTAAAGTAAAAGAGCTAAGGGACAGTACCCAGGCTCTGAATTCAAGCTCTAGTACTGGCACACATACAACATCCTCATTTAAACCTGACATCAAGTATCCTGTGCTTCATCAAGACGCTTTCTGAGTTGGACAGAAAGAATAGCTGCCAATCACCACTCAGAATCCAGCTCTAGAGCTGCTGTGTGGGCTCAACGACCACCCACATCGGCTCACAGGGCAGCCCGCAGAGAGGAGTGGCCGCACACCTGCTTGGTGGTCAACCTAAGCGCACCATGTTGGCTTTACTGTTCATCCTACCTGGCTCATGTCTATTTCCCCTTTTCCTGGGCTAGCCTTTCTCTTCTAGTTCAGAACCTCCAGTGCCTAGCAGGGGTCTTCAATCAATATTGACATGAATGGAAGAAGTAAACACTAGTTCCTCTTCTAATGTCTCTAGCTTAACCCTGAGAAAAGACCAACTATGTTAGCCATTACTCAGCACTGCCTGTCAATTGTTGTTAGGGGGGAAAAAAAAAATCTCATGGAAGTGAAGCAAAACCCTGTGGGGGGAAAAAACCCACTACTACACTCTGGCTCTGGTCCTTCCCTCCCCACGTGACCACCCAACGTGCAACTCAACAGGCTCAGTGACGTCAGAAAACCCTTTCCAATCAAAGCATTCCTCCACACAGCATCCAACTGTTCCATCGAATGCACTTTGCTCGACCGGGACAAGAGATCAAACTAGAAACCTTAGGAAATTAATGAAAAACCAAAAACAAGTCTTCTCTCTATAGGTTATCCAAACCAGCCAGCCTTTACAAATGGCTATTTTTACTGTCAAACCATCTTATGAAAAAAACCAGACACCTTGAAATTTCCTATCCGGTAATAACCACCATAAGATATTTTCTTTTTCAGTGCATACAGACAAGGCTGAGACTAACATTTTACTAAGTCAGCAGGACCAATTATGCATGCAAGTGTGGGTGCCTTCCTGGAAAGTTCCATCAGCTTCCACAGCCTTAAAATCTATAAATGATTGGACTATATTTATTGCACATGAAAGAGACACGACTGCTATTTTCCCCCCCTCTTTAAAACAACTCTAGCATCTCAAGTACCCATTTAAGACTCAGCCTGGCTAGGGATGAATAAGAAAAAAAAAAGTAAGAATTTCTCTTAATTTGTTTATTCAGTGTGAAACCTCAGGAAAAATGGCCAAAAAGCATAGGAGGGAAGAAAGGCTTTAACAACAACAAATCCCATTACAATGACCCACACAATACATGCGATGCAAGCGTTTGCCAAGGTGCTGGGGACATTAGAATGATCTCAGGAAATATTTACTGATTGTTATCATCTCTCCAGGCCGGACACAATTCTGGTGAAGGCCACCAGTAGAAAGGCATGGGTTCTCTGTCTCCTAGCACGTAGTGAAAGCAGCACACAAGTCTAATCTTACAAGGACAAAGTTCTCAAGGAGAGCTGGATCCAAGTAGAAATGCTGGACTTCACTAACTAGCATTAAAAATATCTGGGCCATCTCCTTGGAATTTGGAATTAAGTCTTTTATTGGGGGAAGGGGTAGGGAGATACTGGGGTTTAAGCTCAGGGCCTCCAATGGTTAAGCTGGCACAACACAGCTGAGCCATGCCCCTGCTTGTCACTGGTTATGTTTAGGACTGGGTCTTGCTTTGGGGCACATGCCTAAGCCATGATCACCTACTCTAGGCTTTTGATGGTCGCTTCTCTCTGTGAAGGCCGAATCCTATACTCTTTCTCTGCTTGGGCTGGCTGGGCACCGTGATCTTCCCATTCCAGCTGTCACATAGCTGTACACACCACCACACCCAACTTGAGTGGGAAGTGAGTGATCTTATGAAGTGTTCTGCCCAATCGAGCCTCAAACCACGTTCCTTACATTCTCAGCCTCCCCAGTAGCAAGGATTATGGGCATTAAGCCACTAGGCATCTAGCTTGGAAAGTATGCTTATCTTTATGAGCTGTGTTTTTGCTTTTGAACCTGACCATGTATTTCCAAGTAAAAACCAAAAGACAAATTGCTTTTAATTGTCAAAACAGATGAGAAGTAGAGTTTGTCTTCCTCTGAAATCTGGCAAGAAGGGAAAAATATATATTGTTAAGCCTCCAATGAACAAAGGTAAAGACCAAGAAATTGGTTTTGTCAGATTTTTCTAAGTACAGGAAAAGCACATGGAAGCAGGATTTTGCATGAGGAGATCTGGACATTTCTCCCGGATTCTGCTACTTCACAGTTGTCACACTTGAGCAAAATTATATTATTTCAGAGATCTTTTGTTTGTTCTTAGCTAAAATAGGAATAACACTTACCTATCTGTAATCAAGTCACAGCCATTCTCTGATGTGCACCATTTCTGTCCCTTGCTTTATCTTTGCTTGATAGAAAATGCCCTTTTCTGTTATTGTTATACTGGTAGGGGTCTTGAGCTCAGATCCTGGGTGATGTTCCTTAGCTCTACCACCACTTGAGGCACATCTTCACTTCCAGTGTTTTGGTGGGTAGAGAAAAGTCTTACACACAGACTTTCCTGCCTGAGATGGCTACAAATCTCAGACATCTGCCTCCTGTGTAGCTAGGATCACAAGATCCTAGCTGGTGGCTCAGGCCCCACACCTATTATTTTATTTATCCAATTATTTTCTTTTTCCTTACCACAACGGAGGTTCCCTGAAGACAGGGCTTTTTGCATGTTTTTCACTGTAAACCTTCTCGTATTGTAGGTGCTCATAGATTTTTGGTAAGAAAAGTCTGCACTGGTCTATTGCTTAATGGTAGAACATGAACTTAGCATGTACAAGGCCCCAGTACAAGGAGAAGAACGAAAACAAAAAATTCCAAGGAGAACTGGACCTTAAATTATTGTGTAGATCAGACAAAATAATGGATTGAAAGAGCTTGGTCAACTGCTGAGGATAATGATGGTGATATATTGTTAATCATTCATTACCCAAGTGTTCTGCAGAAATATATACTGAGCATTGCCATTCAAATACTCAGCACTGGTGGAAGGTTTTCAAAAGAGGAAAGACCTCTGAAATCACTATCTGTTTACCATCGTCAAGGCTGTGTAAGCCCAGAGACAGAACTGGAAAACTCAGCCTGAAATAAATCCCAATTCAATGGGGGGGGGGGGGGGGGGGGAAGGGATCAATCACCATATAGTTTTGACAGTGCTTTTTTACCCTAAGCTACCAGCCAAAAGACTGACCTTCTCACAAGGTCAATGACCGCAAGACATGATTGTGAGTTTTAAACTGATGTTGATTTAAATGACAGGATCTTGTCTAGAGAAGATTTTTGCTACTAATAATATTTTAAAAAATACAGAAACAAGATGAAATAAAATGTAAAACCAGTGACAACCTAAAACTATAATGTAGAAAAATCTTTAGGCTAAAATAATATATATGTTTGTCTTATGTCTCTTCTAACCAGTTTGATTTGCTTTCAGTGTAGAGGAATAAAAAAGATTACTGTTGCTGAATTTTACTGCATATAATCAATTTAAATACCAGTTCCTGAGGAGAAACCCAAATCTGTACGTGTCCAAATTTTAAACCTCTAAGGTTATATTAAGCCAACTCTCTTCAAAGTCACATTTGCCATTTTCTAAGGCTATGTAAGCACTTGTCATCTTTCAGATGTTTTTAGCACCTCTGTGATTACACACTTTGGATTACCAACTTCATGTTTATCCCAAATTCTGTCAGACAGTGGATGCTTGGTCCATAGATGGTAGAAACAGGCAGTTTTGTTTCTGCTTTTAAATTACTTCTTTGTAGCTTCTGGTAAAGATTTTCCCCTTTAGCACAATGAATTTCCTTGTATAGATCCTGTGCAAGGGTTTAGGTAGAAGGACAAATGCCTCTGAATTATTAACCACAGTCTGAATCACCCAATCAAAAGAACCAGAGACTAGATGCTGGTTTTGCCTGTCCTTTGACCCCTTTTTGTTTATATGCTCAAGCGTAAGAGCTGTAGTTTGCCACGCACTGTAAAGGTTTCTACAGCAGGGAATGGCTGTCATCACAGATACAAATGCATCTCATGTCCTCCTTTCTCATCCGTCTCCTTTCAGATGCTGGTAATTCTACTACAAAGGGTCAAATACAAGCATCTCTGCGAGGTGCTTCCCCTTCAGCAGCTTTCTGTATTTTAATCAGTGTCTTTGAATCATTACCTAATTTTGAATCACTGCCTAATTAGTTATCTGAAAGCCCTAAAGAGTTTTCCTAACTTAAACAAAGCTTTTGTGTTTTTTTGAGGTATTATATATCCTTTCATAGTTTTATTTATTTTTTACCTAAGACATGGACGGATCCTTTTAGCTCAATACATCTAAAAAGTAATTGATAATTCACTTACCGGAGCAGAAAATTTATGAGATCAACAGCTTTTCAGTTTCCTGCTATGAATGGCGCTCACTCTGTTCTCCTTGATGAATTTACCTATTATCTCATTCCTTGTCCAGAAGGAATTCTCAGTATTCCCTCTAACAGACAGCAGGACCAACAGATGGATGGGTAAACAATGCAGTAATCGGGAATACCTCATCAATATACTGAGTGAATCATATCCAGGCAAGAGAGACTACACAAAACCCTTTATCCAGCTTATGCAGTCTCAGCCATCTTATTTACAACAGTATTCACTCACACAGAAATGTTCTCCATAGTATTAAACACTGCCATTTTCCAGAATTAAATGGAAGATGTCAGATGTGTATATGTGTGTGCGTGTGTGCGTGTGTGTGTGTGTGTGTGTGTGTGTGTATAATATATATGTATACTTACCTCCCGTTTGGTTACTTTGGGTCCATCTTTGCCCTCTGCATTCTCTGGAGACTAGAAAAGAAAATTATTTCAGTGATTGTCTTTAAATTGGAAATTACATGCTATAAAAAAATGAAAAATACACAATGCTTATTTTAACTCCTGGGACCAGAGAAGCCAATAGATTGACTACAGGGAAAAGTAAGTTTAGGAAAGTATGTTACACAATGCGCGCGCACACACACACACACACACACACACACACACACACACACACAGACACACAGACACACACATAGTTGCTCTACTTTTAAAACAGGACTGGAAAAGGGGCCGTAAACCCTTATTCACAGCGCACTCCCGTCTCCCCAAGCAATTTTCGCTCATCTGTCATAAATGAACCATCAGCTAAAGCACAGGCACTCGAAAGCCAGTTGATCTGGATCCGTTTGCTTGTTTGAATCACTATGTCCTTTAAGATCAAGGATAGGAGGCGGCCAAGGAAGTCCAGGCCAACCACAAAGCTTCCAGCCCATTTTTTGATCTGATCTGCTGTATTTGTCACAGATTGGTATTTTTCCATCATCGGCCCCAGCATCTCTATAGCATGCCCTGCTGTGGCGAGATAGCCAGGCGCACGCGACCCCCAGCTGAGGCCTTTCCCAACGTTGGTCCTTCCCCTGGGCAGCTGTCTGTCCCCTCCCATGACAGCTCAGACCTGATGGAGACAAAGGCTGCACACAGCTATGGGAAAAATGCCTGTTACATGTTCCCTTATGTTTCAAAGAAAAGTCTACTTTTGGTTGGTAAAACACTTCACATATCCCAATATGTTCCTTCCTGCATGTAAGATAAAACAAGTATGCTAATTAGAAAAGGAAACTCCCTCTCACATTTTATGATATGACGGTGAATACAATACTCTTTCTCTAAGGCTCAAATGGGCCATGAGTACAAACAGAGCTCCCATTAGAAGAAAATACAAATAGCAAAATGACATTTGGCACCACACTTGGCTCAGCAAAGTAACACAGCTATATAGCAAGGCCTCATCTGATGAAAATGAGTGCAAAATGTGTAAGATTATAAAATTCACTCTTTCAGGGGGGCAGTTGTTCTCAAAGAACAACTTGAGTAAAGACACACAGCACAGGACAATGAGACAGCAATTCCAATTTTGTCAAAGTACTGATTTGACAAACTCTTCGAACATAACTAGACACAAATTCAGTAAATGCAAAAATATTTAAATGCTGTAACAATGCAATGACATTAAACATAGGCCATTTGGATACAGAAAACCTACATTAAAAAGCTAAGCACTGGTGGCTCACCAATAATTCTAGCTACTATGGAAGCAGAGAACTGAGGATCCGTTTGGAGACAACCTGGAGAGAAAAATCTAGAAGACTCTTATCTCTAATTAACTAGCAAAAAGCTGAAGTAGAATTATGGCTCAAGTACTAGAGCTCCAGCCTTGAGTTAAAAAGCCAAGGAAGAACACAAACCTCTGATGGAGGAAAGGAGCGAGGGAGGGAGGGAAGGAAAGAGAAGGGAAAGAAGAAGGAAGGAAATAAGGAAAGAGGAAAGGAGGAAAGAAGGAAAGAGAAGAAAGACTACATAGTATGATGCTATGGTTTAAAAGGCTTAGATAATAACATAGTAAGCAAGATTTAAGTATTAAGTGTTTATAATCTGTGAAAAATAAAAACGTTTCCAGGCAAAGGACACTAGGAGCCTTCTGTAGTCCTTGGACTATCTTCTCTCCATAACCACCCACATGACATTAGCTCCTGCTTCCCAAATCACCTGTCTCCTCCTCCAGAATGGAAACTTCTCTGTTCTGAAGGAAGAGGGCTTTCTTGCTGGCCCCATTCTTGCACAAGAATGCTCGTATCATGCATCTTCTGCCGTCTGTCAGTTGAGTTAGCGCAATCTCAGCAAGGCTGAGCATGTGAAGACCATTCCCACACAGGTTAGTTGGCTTTACTCAGTTCTGCAGTTATAAAACTCAATGCTCCTGAACTGGGAAGGTGGCTCAGTGGTGGAGAGCTTGCCTTGCATGCATGAGGCCCCGGGTTTGATTCCTCAGCAGAAAAAACCCAGAAGTGGTACTGTGGCTCAAGTGGTAGAGCACTAACCTTGAGCTCAAGAGATGAGGGACAGTGCCCAGGCCCAGAGTTCAGGCCCCACGACTGACAGAAAAAACAAAACAAAACAAAAAAACCCCAACTCAATGCTCCCCACACACCACTCTCTACCATGACTCTCGAGTGTACTATGAATGCTCAGTCTCATTCATTCTGGTCAGGAGGCTGGGACTGATCTAAGCAGTTTAGGAAGTAGCACACAGCTATTCAGAAAAGTTGATGTGGCAATGACATTTTTCTATTCTTTTCTAAACTAAGGGTTCACAACAGGCAATATGACCAAGAGATCAGTCTTTAAATGCCCAACTAATGATGTTTGTGCTGCATATACTTTTTTGTGGAGAGAGAGAGCGAGAACGAGAGCAAGAGCGGGAGAGCTGGTGGTTCCTGTCTGTAATTCTAGGTACTCAGAGGCTGAGATCTGAGAACCAAAGTTCAAAGCCAGCCCATGAAGGAAAAGTCCCATGGGACTCTAATCTCCAATTAATCACCAAAACCAGAAATAGAGCTGTGGTTCAAAGTGGTGGAGTGCTAACTAGACTTAAGTAGAAAAGCTCAGAGACAGTGCGTAGGCCCTGAGTTCAAGCCTCAAGAAGAGAGAGGAGAAAGGAGATTAGGGAAAAACAGTTTTTGGAAATGTCAATGACTTCAAATGTGAAGAACTGCAAGTGTAGACACAGCTGAGTTCTCTGGCAATCTCTCCACGTGGCTTTCCATTAGCGAGCTCATGCACAGTTCCTCTGGGGTCATGTACAACTGCGCAGAACATGCAGGATATGAACGGCCGTATGAAACAGGACAGTGGCTTGATCACACACAGGCTATCTGTCTCTTCAGCCATCCATGAATGACAGGTGATAATGAAATCAGAGGGTTTTGTTTAGGATCAAGTGAGAAAGGTTGCAGAAATAATCTCGTAACTTGTGAAGTAGTCCACTGATGTTATATGACAGAAAATATGCAAGCTCTTAAGGAGTTTTCTGAATGACACATGGAATTATACTCAGTCTTACGGCTGGCACATTTCTTTCCATCAGATTGTCTACCAAGTGGTCCCCTGGTTTGGCTGTGTAGGTTTTAATAGGTATACCTTTGGGAGGATTTACCATTGCAGTCTGACCCATCACAAAGGTCCTTCCCAGGAACCCTTACAGCGAGGAGGTCAAGACAGGAAGGAGGAGGAATGGTAGGAACGTTCACCATTTTCTGTCCTGCGTTTTATCTGAGGAATAAAGGACAAATAAAGGCGGGAAGGAAGGCAGGTGATTTAGATGCAGCTCAACCCGCTGGTGGGCTGACATGGAGGGTGAGGCAACAGGATGAAAACCAGAATGGCCCAACAAAAATGTCCACACACCTACCTGCTAAGTCTGGGTGGCACCTGAGAGCCAGCAAGTTGGCAAGGGTCACCACAGAGAGAGGGCAAGGGCACAGGGGAGAGACTGGCCCCCAGCAGCTGGCTCAGAACACAGATCTGGCCAAGCGAGGACTTGAGCTTTGGCAGGATTATTTTAAATTGAATGAGGTTGACCCAGGGCCATCCCACAGCAAGCAGGTAACTGGCCAGACACAAGCCAGAACCTCTGTTCTGTGACTGGAGCTGGACAATACACTCCCAGAAAGGTGAGATGAAGCAGAGTGTGATGGCTCCTGGGGTGGAGGGAAGGGTGGCAGCCCACTGAGGTTTGTGTTCATCCCAATGGAGGCCAATGGGTTTGTTCCAGGCCCTAAGGGGTCCTAATGGTTCTAAGGAGCCGATGTTGTGTAGATTCTAGTGTCTTCCAATGAATCAGGAGAGTTAGATGCCTTCTTTTTTCCTTTTTTTTTTTTCCCTGGGTCATGGGGCCTGACCTCTCGGCCTGGACGCTGTCTCTCAGCATTTCAGCTCAAGGCAAGTGCTCTACCACTTGAGCCACAGCGCCACTTCCAGCCTTTTCTGCTTAAGTGGTGCTGAGAAATCGAACCCAGGGCCTCATACATATGAGGCAATCACTCTACCACTGAGCCTTCTTGAGCTAAACATGTGGCATCCATGCAAGCCGATGTATATCAAGGTATGTCAAGTTGGCCGGGTGCTGGTGGCTCATACCTGTCATCAATCCTAGCTATACAGGAGGCTGAGATCTGAGGATGATAGTTCAAAGTCAGCCCAGGCAGAAAAGTCTGTTATTTCCAATTAACTACCAAAAAGCAGAAAGTGGAGGTGTGGCTCAAATGGTAGAGGGCTAGCCTTGGGCAGATACACCAGAGTAATTGCTACGTGGTTAGAATGCAGGCAAGGCATACAGGCCGTGTGGAGGGTGGGAACACAGCAGGGTTCAAACAACTAGAATGCTAAGGCTCACGGAGGCAAAATCCTTTACTGATCTATTCCTACAGAAGCTAACTTGAATATTTTATTATGCTAGTACTAGGATATGAACTCAGGACCTAGACACTGTCCTTTGGCTTTTTTTTTTTTTATTAAAGTCTGGTGCTCTACCACTTAAGCCCCATCTCCAGGTCTGAATTTCTCCTGGCTAATCAGAGTTAAGAAGCTCTCAGGTTTGTCTGCCTGGGCTGGCTTTGAACCAGTATCTTCAGATTTCAGCCTCCTGACTAGGGAGGATTGCAGCCATCAGCCACGGGCACTGACAGACTTGTACTTCTAAGAGTGCAGGCGACCAGGGCTGTAACTTTACAACTTCAGTGAATTTGCTGAAAGCCCAGAGCACTTAGGAAACTCAAGTGACCACTTGCCAACAGTCATAAAACAGATTCCATCTGCAGCCCCGGTCATCTGTGCCAGCATGCTAAAACTCCGGGCGAGGGGCCCTCAAGTGCTTCTTCTATCTGGAAAGTATCTATTACATCAAGGTGATTTCTCTCCCACTTGCTGGCCAATCGTTTTATTTTTACTACTCCAAATTTCTTTAAAAAAAA